ATCATTAAGTGTTCATAGAAGAGATATCTGTTAGTTTTAACTGAAGATCTCAGTATTCAGTGTTAATAGAAGAGGCTCTGTTAGTTTTAACTAAAGATCTCATCATTAAGTGTTCATAGAAGAGATATCTGTTAGTTTTAACTGAAGATCTCAGTATTCAGTGTTAATAGAAGAGGCTCTGTTAGTTTTAACTAAAGACCTCACCATGTAATGTTTACAATACGACGATAGCATATGTGCAAACCTTCTTACTGAAACTCACCAAAATTTACACAAATAATTAATATATGAGTTGATGAGTGAATATGTGTAAGAATGGGTTTTAAAGAAATAAAGAATATAATAAGCAATGATGTATATATATATACTACGTTTCATAAAAGTAAACACTGAATGGTGAGGTCTTTAGTTAAAACTAACAGAGCCTCTTCTATTAACACTGAATACTGAGATCTTCAGTTAAAACTAACAGATATCTCTTCTATGAACACTTAATGATGAGATCTTTAGTTAAAACTAACAGGACCTCTTCTATAAACATTGGATACTGAGATCTTTAGTTAAAACTAACAGTCACCTCTTCTATGAACACTGAACGATGAGATCTTTAGTTAAAACTAACAGGACCTCTTCTATAAACATTGGATACTGAGATCTTTAGTTAAAACTAACAGTCACCTCTTCTATGAACACTGAATGATGAGTTCTTTAGTTAAAACTAACAGTTACCTCTTCAGTGAAGAATGGATTCTGAGGTGTTTAGTTAAAACTAACAGTTACCTCTTCTGTGAACCCTGAATAGTGAGTTATTTAGTTGAAACTAACAGGTACCTCTTCTGTGAGCCCTGGATACTGAGTTCTTTAGTTGAAACTAACAGTTACCTCTTCTGTGAACTCTGGATACTGAGTTCTTTAGTTGAAACTAACAGTTACCTCTTCTGTGAACACTGGATACTGAGTTCTTTAGTTGAAACTAACAGTTATCTCTTCTGTGAAAGCATGTTTGACATTGTTGTTTCCGTTTTCTGCGCGTTCTCTGGAAATGAGTGAAATATCTTTCAAGAGGAACATATTTTGTTAACTGTATGGTTTGATGATGTCACACAAATACCTTGTTCCAGTGGAGCAAGGCTTCTCTGATCTTATCAACATCTTTAATAAATCATTCCTTATCGTGCACAGCAGAACATTGTTTTTTTAGGCAGCGGAAACAAACAGACAGGTGAAAAATTGGTATAATAGTATTAACTCAGCAGCAAACATTCGAATTACCAAAAACCGTCTTCACGTGCGCCATTTTAATTGGATGGTCTATGATTTCGCAAACGCGCGCGCTCTCGCAGAGAACATTAGTGTAGGCTACGTTTGCTATAATGTACCTCGCTTGAATACTAGGTTAGGGGTTAGAAAGTGTAAAACTTCAAGATGCGCGGTAGGTGAGTGAGTTCAAGCGGTAAAGCAATCACGAGCTTCTCAATGTAATCAGGTATTTGTGTGTTGCACGAGGAAAAGAGCGTGAATGGTGATGCGCGATCTTTAATCAGCTTTCTCACCAGCATCTAGCGATGGGTGGCTTTTCCAAATGGCCAAGCTCAAGTTAATCGCCGTTCACAATTGACAGTTGGGCGGTAGACGCCGATGACAAGACTCAGGGCCCGGCCCGAAAAGCAGGAGCTTCGGCATAGCACCCATGGGAAGCCCTGCTGCGATTTCAACTAGTAGGGGAGACCACGCTGAGTAGGGTGCTCGTTATTATTTCAGAAAAACTGGTCTTGGCACAAACTGAACTCTAGGTAAGTAATTCTGAAGAGCGCAGTATGGGGCGAATGCACTACTATACCAGAACTGATGAAAAACGGAAGGAAAGAACCTATATCATCTTTCTATGGAAATAATAAGGAAAAAAGTAGGCACGGCCGTAAATCAACATAGGAAGAAACCATTAATTATGATCTCACTGTTGAACCATTACTCATTAAAGTATTTAAAGCACGTGGCTTGGGAATCGACATTGTGTCTTTTATGTAGGCATATTTTCTCAAAATAAACCTGTATGGGTCACTTTCTGTTCATATCTCATGCCATTTAATCCGCCGAAGTCGTGTGGTTGTGCCTTTTAAGCAAATTTTACACAAGCACCGCTTATAAAGACACCATTCTGCCAATTGGCATTCATGCCATTACCATTACAAGTCATACACTTATGATACTGGTTCTCTGCGGGCCCGGCATGACCAGGTGGTTAGGGCGCTCGACTCGCTATCTGCGGATCGTGGGTTCGAATTCCCGTCCCAACAAACATGCTCGCCCTTTCAGCCGTGGGATCGTTATATGTGACGGTCAATCCCACTATTAGTTGGTAAAAGAGTAGCCCCAAGAGTTGGCGGTGGGTGGTGATGAATAGCTGCCTTCCCTCTAGTCTTACACTGCTAAATTAGGGACGGCTAGCGCAGATAGTTCTCGTGTAGCTTTGCGTGAAATCAAAAATAAACAATCGATTCTCTGGACTCTCTGCAAGCATTAGTAGCTAATAGCGAGTTCGGTGAATGACTCGGGGGATGTTCGGTAGTCTTTTAATGAACAGTTCTATAAAAGGAAAGAATGTAAATAAAAACTGGAACATTTTGTAAAAAATATAAACAGCTTTCCGATTAGTGATTTCCTCAAGTCCACTAAAAACACTGAAACGGAATTGAAAATTAATAATTTAATAAGTTATGTTTTTAATATTGTTATTGAAATTGTAGCTAGAGAGAGCTGTGGGTCTAAATAATGACTTTAAGATAAAAAGGTTTAATGATATAGGCCTAGAACACCTAGAAAATTCCAAGGATGTGATGTAAAGTTTTTAGTAGTATATTCGAATATAGATTATATATTCGAGATAGTCGAGTAGTGTGAAGAGTTTTGTTTCAAGAAGGAAGAGTATTGTATCAGTCAGTGTGTAAAGTATTTTGGACCAGTGTTAGTTATTGCGCTTATCGAGATCTTTGTACAAGTAAGTTAATTTTACGTTAGTCCTAGTACTATTAGGCTTCGAGAAGTTTGAACGTCATTTGTAACTAGGCCTACAACGATTTATGGCAGTTTACAAGTGTTAAAGAAGTAAATGAATTGATTTGTGACTGTTAATGGACTAGACGTTGACTTATTTACACCAGATAATTTGAAAAAACCTGTCAGAGGAAAACTACGTTACAACAATAATGTCATACAACACCGTTTGTTTGACGAAAAGTTTCATTCAGAATGATTAAGATCGTAATATCGGCATTATATTGAAACATAACTATATGGGCCACTACTTGGTTTGAATATTAAATATATGCATAATTATCAGCGTTCGAACATTATTGTGTTTGCATATAATTTATATCTACTGACTTTTAATAAATGATTTGTACCAAAAAGTTCACCCGAATGAAACACCCTAACTTCTACGCCGTCAGTTTATTTCATTCTGTGTTTGATACTTAAATACCAAAAAAAAAACCTGTTTCAAGTTCTGAAAATAATTGTTATTGATAATACTTTAGTAATAAATAGTATACATTGAGAATTTTTCCAATGCATCTCTCAATTTATTCAGATTATCTGTTTGTCGTTTTCTGGTTTAAAATCACCCATAAACATGTTAATTAAGAAAACTACAAGTTTAACTTTTGGCGTTTAAACCGTAACGTTTTGGAAAGGTAACTTGAAGTTTAATATCTGGAAATACCAAAAGATGGCATGGTAGTGCTGTGAGAAAGCTAATAGCAATGTTCAAACCATTTTTGCTAACATGCATATAGGGTAACTGACACTCCTTGGTATTTTCTTTCGCCTGTTATATAAAACCAATCATTTCTGATGATGGTTTTTGGAGACTAATCTTACTGGGTGTAAACTACAAGATTTGTTATCACCTCTTTGCAAATCAGTGAACTCTTGGGCTATTATTGTCTAATCAAATAGTTGTATTTGACTGCCACCCAAATATCCCAGAGTACGGAGGACGTTCTTGCAGCAAAGGGTCGCGACCTTAGTTTCCATAGTCTTGTCATATTAACGATTAGGCCACGCTTGGTCTATTTATGAAACTAATTTATAATGCTGAGTTTGGCTTCGCTCTGATTGTTACACACCCCGTGTATTATATCCGTTTGTTATACAATTATTTAGAAATGCGCCTGTTTTAACCACATCTAAGACACTTTCATCATTGAACGTGGCCATAGTCTAGTCATATTAACGATTAGGCCACGCTTGGTCTATTTATGAAACTAATTTATAATGCTGAGTTTGGCTTCGCTCTGATTGTTACACATCCCATGTATTATATCCGTTTGTTATACAGTTATTTAGAAATGCGTCTGTTTTAACCACATTTAAGTCACTTTCATCATTGAACGTGGCCATAGTCTAGTCATATTAACGATTAGGCCACGCTTGGTTTATTTATGAAACTAATTTATAATCCTGAGTTTGGCTTCGCTCTGATTGTTACATACCCCGTGTATTATATCCGTTTGTTATACAGTTATTTAGAAATGCGCCTGTTTTAACCACATCTAAGTCACTTCATCATTGAACATGGCTTTTGTGTAACTTACTCGCTAATCTTCATTTATTTTACACTCTCAAAGGAGCCGAAGGTGACAAACAAATGTGTGAATTTTTTATATAGTTTCTTGTAATTTACAGAACTTTGAATTATTGCAATATTAACTCGAGAGCTTCATTTTCTCAATGATATTACACAAAAATAAAAATGATATTAACATAACAGCAAAAAGTAAATTAGCAGATGCTATGAGTAGGTCCCAATCATACAAAGTATTCAAACACCTAATGTATTGATTAACTCATTATTGTTTTGTTTGGAATTTTTCCTGAAGCCAGTAATCATTAAGTCCTAAATCTTCCGAATTTTAAAATTTATGACGGTTTTCAAAAAATTTTATATCGTATTTGTACACCGCCTATAAAAACATAATGAAACTACAGGTTGATCGCTAGGCAACAAGAAGCACGTGGAAACTCTTTAGTTGTGATTATTAATATGGCTGCACGCATTTATGTCCAGGAAATTATCTTTACACACTGCTTCTATATTTTATTTATTTTTTGACTTTCTCAATCGTATATGTTATATTATTTTCCTCCAAACTTACAAAAGGGTCAGTACGTTACCCAGAAAAGTAAACTATTTATCGACACGACAAATTAACCAAAAAATCACGAGAGGGAGTGTACATCGCAGTTAGTGCGCCACCTGGACTTGCATACTTTCTTAACACTATTCTTATTGCAATTAGAATATTTTGCGAAGTTTCTGCACATGTGCACACTATAGGCAGAATGTCTATACACGTTTACAGAATATGCCCAAAATATCCGCACTTCAAATCAAATCCATACAGCACTGAAGACGTTCAATCCAGATCACCAACACACGTTTATCAAAGCTTACTACTATTTTCTAAAACAATTTGAAAAGATACATTAATTTCATCAATGTTTCAATGGCTACCGAGTTTTAGGACTACCTGTATAACGTTGACTAAGAACGGAACTGAAGAAATAAGGCAACAAACAGCTGGGTTGCTGAAGAGAATTTCGCAACGTTTTGTTGGTTGTAAATTACTTTATTATCTTGTAAGCAACTAACCCCAGGGGATTTCACATAGCTAACGTTCGAAGAATGATCTGTATATTTACGACTCTGCATTTCTGACCTTTTTTCTCGGTGTTTCGGCCTGCGAGTAATTTTGAACTATTTGGTTTGAACCGAATGTCTCTGCAGACATTTTGGGGAGATGAGAAGTAAGTATAATTCAATGCAAAACGTGGTCAACAAAGTTGATAGTGAACGAAATACAAGAGACTACTTCATATGTATATACTTCTGAATTCTGAAAAAAGAAACACGTATTACCTGTTTGGTTACAGTTTAACTTTTAATGTTATTGTTGTTTAATATAAAATGTCAGTACATCCAACAACGCATGAACTTCCCGCAGTTTACTAGATCACTACATCCATTTATTTAGTATCAAGTATCAGGGCATTCAACAACTCGT